GAAGAAGATGACTAAGAGTGAGCTCAGGAAGGCTTCTCACAGGAGGGGCCTGTGCCCTGGGAGCTGCAGGGAAAACCCAGGAGGGGAGGAGGGAGGGAGGGAGGAGACAGGTAGGAAGAGCTGTCCTCTAACTCACTGCCTTTGACTCTGAGCTGCCCCAGTGGGTTGCTGATTTATTCAGCTGCCTGAACAACCTCTTGGCTTCAAACAAAACAAGTAAATGCTGGCTAGTACACATGTACGTAAAACAGGATGTTACTGACATTCGAGATCGTGATATCTTCCCTCCATAAAGCAAAACTGGCACCCAGAGCCCACCAAGGGAATCATGCCAAAGGCTTCTGCCAGTCCCAGGAAACCCTGAGCGGGGGTCTGGGCAACCAGCCCCAGATGGAGAATCCCAGAGAAGATTCTGATCATCACACCCCCCACCCTCCACCCCGCCATGAGGAAGACCAGCAGCCCACACAAGCCAGGAAACTAGACTCCACTCGCCCAGAGGAGGTATAAACTATGTGGGTTTGCAGTTCTAACACATGCTCAACCCAGGAGAGATCACAGAAACTGTAGTTTACTTTGTCCTGGGCTTGTCGCACCCCAGGCCACTGGCAGAAAGAGGTGCTGATTCTCCCTGGGGAGCCCTGACTTCATCCCTGCACCCCTTGACCGCCCACAGAGGGAGGAATGGAGACGCAGGCTGGTCTTGTTCTGCCAGAAGGAGTCCCAGTGCACCTGCTGCAAACAGCCTCTTTAAAAGTGGTGAGAGGCAAGGAGGTCACCGAGGACGAGGGGCCGCCTGACCGGAGCCATGGTGATTTTCAGTCGCCTCAAAGGCATGAGGAAGCTGGACATGAAAGAAGGAAGGCCGAAGAAAATCCGAGGCCTTTGCATTCTGGTGCTGGCGGGGAATTCTGAAAGGACCCGGACGTCCGAAAGAAGGCGCTCATCTGTCATGGAGGAAGTGCAGCTGGCACGCTCCTTAGAGGCAAGGAGACTCCATCCCAAGTAGGCTGGACATGCCTCTGGAGACGGACCTCCCGCTGGGTGAAGCAGAGGGTCAGCGAGAAAGAGGAAGGCCCTCCACGGGGACAGGCCACGGGCTCAGCCACGCGCTGCAGCCACGGGCAAACCGGAACCAGGTGGGGATGGGGGGGGGGGTTCCTTCTGTTGTCCAGAGGGTCACTCCGAGTACCCAACAGCAGCTGCAAGGACGACTGCTGACCTTGAAGCCCCCAGGCCTGCTCCTGGGGTGTCCGAAAGATGTGTCCCCCAGCTCCGTCTTCCGTGCAAATGGCAGCTGTGGGCACTCCGAGGGGCAGGTAGTCCTGGTCTGTCCTGTGGGACAGCTAGGAGTCCAGGTGGCGCGGCAGCAATGGGCTTAGTCATACACGAGCCATTGCAAAAGGACAAATTCTACACGAAATCACTGTTACCCGGGACAATTTTAAAACGTACATAGCGAAGAGCAGGCCACGCGTGACAAAGGAAACAGACGTGGGAGAGTGGTAAGAACGGGGCCGGCAAGGCCCGGGAGATAAAGCCCTGGGGCAGACTGTGGATTCCCACGAGGGCAGCCAACAAGAAATCGGGGAGCGGGTGAAGGGTAAGCCCTTGGGGGTGTGGGTGAGTCGTTGAAGCTGTTGACTACGAAGGTGCTGATCTGAAAGGTGAGCCCCCACCTCGTTAAACTGGCAAAGGGGGCGGAACCAAAAGCAATGAGGCCCCGAGACACACTACAAAACCATTATGTTAAATAAAAGACGCCAGACACGGAGACCGGCGACGGTTCTGACCGGCTACGGTTCTGATTCTATTTACAGCAAACGTTCAACAGAGCCAGAGCTGTAGAACGCTGTGTTTTAGAGGCTGAGGTTGGGGGCAGGGGGCTGAAGTACCTGGGACTACCTGCTAAGGGAATGCATGGGGTGAGGGATGAAAACGCTACAGCACTAGACCAGGTGGTGGTTTTGCATCGTTGTCAAGGTACGACGCTTGTCTGTCCACTTTAAAATGGTTTGCTTGGTTCTGTGGGAATTTCATCTCGGCCCAGGAACACCACCTCCTCCCACAGATGAACTTCCAAGTAAGTCAAAAGCCTCTTGTTTTCACAAGGAAACAAGGCACGGAGACAGAAAGCCACCATCCGCCACAGACAGAGGCTGAGCCCTTCCGACGTGAGATTCTTTTGTCTGCGGCTAACAGACGGTGTTGACGATGTGAAGCAAAGAAATAAGGCACTTGGAACTCGGAGCGAGGGATTGACCGATCTGAAACGGATCCACCAGGACCTTTAAGACATGATAGATGGATGGATGGATGGATGGATGGATGGATGGATAGATAGATAGATAGATAGATAGATAGATAGATAGATAGATGATCGAAATTAAAATTATTGAAATGGAAATTAAAAGGATTCACCAGCAAAACAAAAAAAATGTAAACATGAGTGAGTTAGAGGAGGGATTTGAGATAACACCCACTGTCATCCAAAGAGACCAGGCTGCAGAAAGCCCCAAAACAAGGCTAGGAGACACACAGAACTGCAGGACACCATCGTCTGGGACTTCCTGGGAATTCCAGAAGGAAATGCTATCAGAAGTGGGAAGGAAGCAATATTCTAAAAAGGATGTGCCAGAACTGTGGGAAAGACAATAATCCTTAGACTTGGCCGGCAGAACAAATCCAGAGCACTGTAAATAAAAATAAATGTGCGCTGCAATGCACCAGGGTGAACGTGTACGGATGAGAGAGGAAGAAGAAGAAACCAAAGATGAGCCACATCAGCAGGCAGGACAGGCAGGACAGGCAGACAGATTGCTGATTCACAATCGCAACAACAGACCACTAATAGTATCGGCCGCAGGTTTAAAAGCAGCCCCCAATCCAAAACTGTAT